CCCCGCCCGCCCCATCGATGCCCCCCTCATAGCCCCCCCCCATAGCCTCGGGGCGCGCTTGGCGCGTCACCGCTCACGTGACGGGGGGACCTGGCAGCGCCCGGGCGCGCGCGTGGTGTCACTGTCACGTGATGCTGCCGTTCTCTCCTTCAAGAGTCGCCTCCAATCGATTTGCGGGCGCTCGATGCAGCAGCCTTCGCGGAGGAGCATTCTTCGGTCTCGGCCGCCGCCGCCACCTCCTCCGCTGCCGCCGCCGCCAATCGATGCGCTCAGGGCTCCGGTCGCCATTTTAGGGGGAGAGCGAGGGAGGCAGAAGGAAGGGTCGGTAGGTACCGGCGCTGCGCTGGGCGCCCCCCTGCGCTCGTCCCCGCTGCCCTGGCCGCGTCCCGCCCGCTGCCGCTCCCGCCCGAGGCTGCCCGCGCTGCCCCGCAGGCCGCTCTCCGTGCCCGCGGAGCGCTCTCCCCGCCCTCATTCAGTCCGTCTGCCCCACGCCCCCTCCCCGCCCGGCTGCTGGTGCCCGGGACCGGTCMCTGCGCTGCGTGCGGCGCTGCCGGCGGGCAGAGGAGCGCGCGCCGGGCGGGAAGGCGCCCGCCGGGGAGGGGAGGGAAGCGAGGCAGGGGCTCCGCGAGGGCGGCTGGCGCCGGCAGCTCCCGGCACCTTCCCCGCTAGCCGCGCTCCCGACCCTGCCTGCCAGGGCCCCGTGTGCCGGCACTGGCGCGGCCAAGGAGAGAGCGGCAGGGGAACCCTGCCGAGCGATGCTGCTTTTTTTTTTTTCTTTTTTCTTTTTTTTTCATCCTACTGGATTATTTTCCTTATTGTTCCTCAATATGGTTCACATTCCATTTCCTGGCAATGTATTCATTCACCCATGAGAAAAGTGCAACAAGTTTCATTCATTTCATAACACTTTTTCATTTTTTTTGTATAGTATTGAGTCTTAACTAAAATATGGCAGTAATAGGTCTGATCTTATATTCCAAAGTTCAGCAGGAGGTATTCTGTGCTTTATTGCAGTTGTTACACGTAACAGTCTTGTATATAGTTTTTTTTTCTTTTTTATATCTTTATTCCAGGCCCCTCCAAGGCATTCCTTGCTCACAATGTATAGAACAAAAGTCAGCTTGAAGGATCGTCAGCAACTTTATAAACTAATTATTAGTCAGCTCCTATATGATGGATACATAAATATTGCAAACGGTTTGATAAATGAGATAAAGCCTCAGTCAGTCTGTGCACCATCTGAGCAACTGCTGCATCTAATTAAGTTAGGTAAGCTGCAATAAAAAAAAATTACTCAATTTCCTAATCTGTAGTTGAAATCCATGTGAATTAAGACCTCAGTGTTACTGAGAGTATGAAGCTCATGTTTATTGGTACTATAACATTTTTATGTGTTTAGATAGTCTTTGTCTCCATGGTTTTTGAGGTGCCTTTCAATTCTGTTTGTTTTAGTATGCATTGGAAGCAAAACAGATAAGGCATGTTGTCCATGTCTGCCTGTTTGAACTTCTGTAGCATGTAAGACTACCTGTTCAGGCTTCCTGGGTGACTGACAGCCTTCTAAAAATACCCTCCCATGAGTAAGATCATTGAGTCTATAGATGTAATAAGAATAGGTTGACCCACCCCAGTTCTCTGTAAGCAGCAGAAATATTTTTAGTATTATTCTCAATGAACGCATGGAAAAAGGAGTACCTTTCTATAGTCTTTATTCAGTCTTCATTTAGTCTTTATGGGATTTAGTCTTTTTATACTGATCTCACAAAAACAAACCTCACAGGCTAGGGCCTCAGCAAGGCCATGGTCTGTTCTCTTTCCTGGGAGTGCATCTGTGCCATAGTGTGTAGTCACAATACCTGAGCTGCTGTTGAAACAAGCAAGGTGCTTGGAAGAGGCCTGGGCATGGCAGCATGTCTTCTGTGCTTTGTAACTGAACTGGTTCTGCTGCCTGAACTAGTTAAATTCCAAGAGTATAAATATGTGAAACCTTGTGTCTGTGTGAATTAAGAATACTAGGCTCAATTCGTAGATGAAAGTATTGAGAACTTTTTATTGTCTATGACGGATTAATGAGCACATTKGGGCCCATAACTGAAAATTCTCATGTCCTGGCTCAGGTTCCAGTGCTGAATTGTCTTCCTCCTGTAGATGCATGCTAGAAATCAGAAAGTTAAATCTACAGGATGGGTGTGAACAGCAGTAATCATTTTTATTAGCAATGCTGGGATAGTTTGTGGGATGAGATTTTTTTTTCCTTTAAGACAATAAAGAATCACTAAATGSTTCCAGTTCTAACCTCATGCATCTCGTGCATCAGTGGCATTGAGGTTTGTTTTTCCTTTCTCTGGAAAAACTGCATCTGTCTGTGACTTTCCAAAGTGATCATTTGTGCCCTTATCAGTATTTAGTAGAATATACTTGCTGGTTGTATATGCAAGGTTAATACTACAAAAGTAATATTAACTACTGTGTTCTGCTGTAGKGTAAGCAAATTGCCACCCATTTCTTATGTATAAATTAACATGTTCTGTTCGCTCAGTTTTGAATGGGATAGCTTTTTTAACAGTTGACTCATCTAGCTGTTAAAGACTAGATCTGTAATACAGATCCAGCYTCAGCATACCCATGTATGGGGAAAGTTAGCATACTTTTAAGAACATTAACATCTCTTTTTCAGGAATGGAGAACGATGACAGTGCCGTTCAGTATGCAATTGGACGGTCAGATACGGTAGCTCCAGGCACAGGAATTGACTTGGAATTTGATGCAGACGTACAAACCATGTCTCCTGAGGCTTCTGAATATGAAACTTGTTATGTCACATCTCATAAAGGACCGTGTCGTGTAGCTACGTATAGCAGAGATGGACAGTTAATAGCTACAGGATCTGCTGATGCCTCAATAAAAATACTTGACACGGAGAGAATGTTGGCCAAAAGTGCTATGCCTATTGAGGTAAAGTGTGGCTTGAATCATAGCCATTTGCTGAAATTTTAAAGGGCATCTGTGTTATATGGTGGCTGTGCCTTGTGGTTAGCCCAGTGGGCTGGGCTAAATGTCTGTCTTGCCATATTTTGTGCTCTAAAGCAACTCAAAAACATCCTTCAAGTAAACGAACAAGAAATGGGGCCAGTAGGTAATGGGACAGGTGGTAACCTCTGGCAGTTGGTTAGAGAACGAGCCAGAAGTTGCTTCTAAATGCTTGTTTCTAGTACTTGTTGATAGCTGCTATCTTATGCGAACAGAGTTTATTTTTGTTTAGACACATAGCAAATTCCCAGCACTCAGCAGTGTGCTGTGTGAATGAAAGTTGTGATTTTCCCAGATGTCACACCTTTCCTAAATTCTCACGGAAATGCTGTGCTTTAATTTGGACAGTTGAGAATGAAGGCAATGTTTAGTGTCCCAGGCTATGCTTTTGTGGGTCAATTTTCCGCTATTGGTGCTAGCTTGGACAAGTCAGTTTTTGTAAAGATACTGGGATGTTATTTGGTAACATTATCATGGGCCTTCAAATAATGAAGGCAATCACTATTAATTTGTATGCCTAGTTACATGTTAGATTCTCAAGCACATACTTCTAACAGGAAACCTTTAGTATGTTCAACCTCCTAGGACTAACTTTTGGAATATTCATTGTAGGTCATGATGAATGAAACAGCACAGCAGAACATGGAAAATCACCCTGTTATTCGGACTCTGTACGATCATGTGGATGAAGTTACGTGTTTAGCTTTTCATCCGACGGAACAGATCCTCGCATCTGGTTCAAGGGACTACACGCTTAAATTGTTTGACTACTCAAAACCTTCTGCCAAAAGAGCCTTCAAATATATACAGGTCAGATACAATAGTTCCATTGAGAACAACCAGAGCTTGAATCTCTTAAGTACTGTGGCTGAATAATGTCTATTTAAAAAAAAAAAATGACTAGGTGGGAAGGAGTGTGCAATGACACGTAATACAGGCATTGTGGTAATTGTGTGTTAATAGTTTGTGCATAATATTGACACATTTATGCCTACRGTGTTTAAAAATCTAATGCCTATTTAATTTTTGTAATTATAAACCTATTGTAATACTGATAGCTTTGAAATCAATCCCAGTAGTTTTGGAGGACGATTTGGAATTGTTTTGTGCTAGGGCGTGGAGCATGTGACAGGTTGACAAAATCTCCTCTTGCTCTTATGTCATCCCTAAAATGAGTGGGCACTAAATGTTGCTTAAGGACAAAAGTTATGATGCGCTTAAATGTTTTTTCTCATCCTGATAGTATAGAAAGCATTTTCTGTTGATGGATAATTTAACTCACTTTTAGCACTTTAACATAATTAGAATTAACATTTTCTYGCAGATTTTTTTTCTTGTTGATACTGATTATCCGGTTGTTTTTGTCTGATTGTTTTTACCAAACAGGAGGCAGAGATGTTACGTTCAATCTCCTTTCATCCYTCTGGAGACTTCATACTTGTTGGTACCCAGCACCCTACCTTACGCCTTTATGATATCAATACTTTCCAGTGCTTTGTGTCTTGCAATCCTCAAGATCAGCACACTGATGCTATATGTTCAGTGAATTACAATGCAAGCGCAAACATGTATGTGACGGGAAGTAAGGATGGATGCATCAAACTGTGGGATGGTGTTTCAAATCGCTGCATCACTACTTTTGAGAAGGCACATGATGGAGCTGAAGTCTGTTCTGCTATTTTTTCCAAAAATTCCAAGTATATCTTGTCAAGTGGAAAAGACTCTGTRGCTAAACTATGGGAGATCTCCACTGGTCGAACGCTAGTCAAATACACAGGTATGTGGTAGGTGATCTKCCAGGTATCTTTTTTTTCAGATTGTAGCTAGTGAGGAGATGCTATTATCAGAAGAATTAAGTTTCTTTTTTGCTACTAGAAAATAAATTGAATCTGTAAGAGAAGCTCTGATGGTTGCATATCAGCCAGTATTATAAAAATGTTAGACTAGATGAATTTACTCCATTGTTTTCAAAGGCAACTTATTTTTTAAAGTTAGTGAAAGTAAAAAAGGAGCATGAGTAGCTTGTAATAGTAGGGCGCTGGTGCAGCAGGACTTGTTCTCTGGGTTTCTAAAACGCTTTAGGAGAAAACAGTGGTTATTAAAGCAAAACAGTGTCATGGATTTTCTTGCTTGTGACCATTTTTATTTTTGTTCTTGTTGTATGCATGGCTAGGCAAGGGGCACACCTCCAGCTGGAAGGATTAGAAGTGGCCTAATCCACTTCTAGCTGGAGTAGACCTGAAGAGTACCCCAGACCCAGGGGGACTAGAACATGGCTTCAAACACATGCCTTAACCCATAGATTCCTGCTTTGATCTCAGCAGGATGTAGAGCACTCAGCAGGAGTGAGTGAAAGATATGAAAACTTTGCACATAACAGCAGCTGTAAAAATGCAGAAGTGAACAGTAGTGTGCTTAAATATTACTAGATATACTGGTAGCAGGTAAGATGACAGCGTGTTGAAGACTTGTGTCTGAGCATTTGGGACCAGTGTTGAGTACTTGCACATAGGAGCTGTGTTTTGCTCTCAACCAGCAGGGCGCAGCACTTCCCTAATAGACCTTGCAAGATGCCAGTCAGGAGGATGGTGCTGTATTGCTTGCAAAAGAAATATCCGCACATGAAACACAAATTCCAAAATTTGAAGGTTGTAGAGTGGAGATATGACCGAGCTAGGTCCATACATTGTGGTTTCTGCACACACAGAAGAAACAAAAGGTGTCTTTGATACTAAGAACCTGTATGTTCTACTAACAGTGGTCTTTAAAGATCATTATGGTTGCATGTCTCTAACGGGGTTGGGGAGGAGTAAAACTGCTCTTCAGGCTAAGTATTTGCACTCAAAGCGTGAATGGCCTGCCTTGGTCTATGCAGCTGGGGTAGTTAAATCCCTTCCATCTTCTGTCTCTAGGAAGTTGACTGATTTGACTGTCCTTTGTTTTGTACTGTCCTGCACACTTTGTTTTGTAACTCAGAACAGTTTCCTTAGGCCATAGCAGTTGGTAACTGGGGGGGGTTTGCTAACAGCTCTTTAAAAAGATTCCTAAAACAGATCCTGTTTGGCTTCATATCTTACTGCACGTATCGAGTGAACCTTTGTGTTATTTTCACAGGAGCTGGTCTGAGTGGACGACAAGTACACAGGACACAGGCTGTCTTCAACCATACAGAGGACTATGTGCTGCTCCCGGATGAAAGGACCATAAGTCTGTGCTGCTGGGATTCAAGAACTGCTGAACGGAGAAATCTTCTTTCTCTTGGGCACAACAGCATCGTCCGCTGTATCGTGCATTCTCCCACCAATCCTGGTTTCATGACCTGCAGTGATGACTACAGAGCTAGATTTTGGTACCGAAGGTCAACCACAGACTAAAGACAGCTTTATAAACCAGTGATTTTCCAGACTCATTCTATCATCTTGTATTGATTGTACCRCCAACAGATGCCTAGATGAGAGCCATGCTGTGTCTGCTTTTCAGTTCTGTCAAACGTGGCAGGAAATATCAGAGTACTGAGACTGAGTGTTTGCCCCACGCTAATTTTTTTATTAGTGTGTATGGCATTATTTTTTGTAAGTCATCTCTAATTGTATTCAAGGGAGAGCAGGGGGGAATAAAATGATCCTTGCAACAAGGATTCAACTTGTTCTCCTGTCTCTAAATCCCGCGAAAAATAATGTGACTAAATCTTGCTCAAACTGGGCAGAACGAGCCAGTTTTGCTCTGCATTGTATCTGTGCAATCCCACTGAAGTCTGTTTAAAGAATAGATTACAAAAGTAACTGCAGAACTTGGCATATACTTTAATGAAGCCTTAAGCTGCTTTCAGTTCTGATTTATACTTTGCAAAGCTGTTGTGTATCTTAGGTTTTTTTGGGGGGGCGGGSAGAGGAGAGGGTTCTTTTGTTTTTTGGGTTTTTTTTGGTTTTTTTTTTTTGATTGTTTGTTTTTAATTGGCCCCGAGGACCTTCAATGCTGAGCCAATCTTGTGCCGTAGGAATTTGAAACACAATTTTGAGTTGTTTAGGTGAATTAAAGAAAATGGCCTTCTAGTTCTGATGTTAAAGCTCAGGTTTGAAATCTTGTCTTTCCTTTGAATTTATCTTAACAAGTGTGGCTTGAAAGAAAGCTCGTAGTGTTCCCAGGACTATCCACACTGCAACTGCAAAGAGCTTATGTGGCAGTGTTGCACTGCGTGAAGATGAGGAGAATAATTTTGCCATAGAAACCTACAGTATCCCTTCAAAGAAAGGGATACACATACTTTTTTTTTTTTTTTTTGTACTTTAGAAATGTCATTTTATTTAGAGGCTTTTATTCTGTAGTTGCTGTGTTACACAACACTTGAATGACATTCTTTAATTCAAAAAAAACCCCAAAAGTTAAATAATTTGACTTATCTCTAATAGTGCTACTAGTTCTAAAAGTTTTTCAGGTAACATTTACAGACTATTAAGATACTGTATATTTAAAAAATCTGTARATTTGAAAATTCACTATCACTTGTAGATTATTTGGCCTATGAAAGGCTTTAAATATGTTTGTTCTTCCAAGCATCCTGACTGACACAGTACTCTTGGGCTTCATACGTGGGAGAATTTCTTTAGTCCCAACCTCGGCACTTGCTTTTGGTAGGAAAGCATCCAAATATTAGGTTGTTCTTAGTCCTGAATTAATTTTCCGTTGCCACAGATGAAATATCTTTTAAAGGGTTGAAGGGGCTATAGGTTGTGCCTGTATTTAAATAAAAATTACCTCTTAAGAAGTTATTTAATATATAAAGAAATAAATGTATTAGTTGTCTTTCGATACAACAAAGAGCCAAGCAAATTAAATATTTTAAGGATCTGTCTTGGGAAGGTGTTACAGCTTGCTGGATTGTTCTGCCTCGTTACATGTAAACCTGACATGACATAAGCCTTGTAGTTGGATAGTTTTAAATGGATGTGATTTTTTTTTTTCTGATTTTTTTTCCCCTCTTAATTCCTTTTTTCCCATTTTTTATTATTATTATTATATTCTGTTAAGTTGCCTATAGGTAGCTCATTTCCTGATGGTGAATATTGTCTATTTTCAAATTTGCTATTTGCTCACTCTAAGTAGATAATGCTTAGATAACTAGTTAATGTAGAGTAAAATGCTTTTGGAGTGTAAAATCCCTGTGGCACCAGGTGCTGGCTGGAGGTTTGGGATAAGAGCAAGAAGCGAAGTTTGCTGTACAAAAAGGCAGTGTTCAAAGCATGCCCTGGAATTACTGTACAGAGGAGCTATAGCAGCATCATGAAGAACACACCTAGTCTGCCTTAGCTCCACCCTTGATTGAAGGGGAATGTGCCTGTGCACTACACAAATCTGGAGGAATCTAAAGATGGTCTTCGTGTGACCAGACTTGCTGGTCGGAGCGGCTCTGCTCCCAGAGCTTTGTTTGCTGCTCCTCATGGGTGGATGTCAGAGAGCAGGAATGTGGGGAGCAGGAGCAAGAAGGGGCTGCTGGTTTCCTTCTCTTGTCTCCTGGCTAGAAGGAAGCTAGGAGATTCTGAAGCTATGTGTGAAGTCGAGGGAAAAAAAAGGAGAATTTGTAGTTATTGATTATTTTTAGTGGTTAATAGCATTTTTCTTAGACTTGATGCTTTTGTAACGAGTAGGCTGAATGTGATATAGTTCTGATTCAGACCTGAAAGCCTAAGGTTTGGCATAGGTAGTACTCGTCAAGATGCCTCTTTCAGGGGCATTTTACTTATTTGGCTTACAGTAAAAAGTTACACTTCCCCAGCCCTTTTGCATAGATCCTGTCTTCAAGCAATACTATTTTAAGTGGTTTTGTTGCGGCACAGAGGAGAAGTGAAATGTGTAACTGCAAGACAGTGATTGATTAAAACGTAGGCAGTTGCACTGAGATGCTTTCCTTATCACAGTAAGGGATTTGCCCAGTGAGTTGCTCTGTTCTGTGGCTTAGCAGGCAGTTCAAAAGTACTTCCCATGTTGCCTTTGAGCAGACGCGTTCAGAGCATTTCTCTGCATTTCCTCCCAGAGCAGTTCAGGGGCCTTCTAAAGAGGGTTTCAAGAGACAGGGGAGAAAGGATATGGGGCGGTGGGGAAGCTTTATCCTGGTACTTGTGTGTGTTCCTCCTCACTCCTAAGAGTAAGCAGCATTAGAGCATGGAGACAGCTCTCTCTYCAAGCTGTTGAGATGCAGGTACTTGTGTTAACTTAGTCTCAAGCCTGTACCTTTTTCAGATGTTCTGCTGTTATGCCCTGCCAGACTTTATTTGAGGCTAATAACTGCCGTTCTCTTGTTTCAAACTCTGTGTTCCTTGGAGCTTACAGTCAGCTCCTCTTCCAGCTTAAAGAGGAAGCAAACATGTAAACAAGCCCCTTGCAAAGCAGAACTTTTGCCTGGGACAAGCGGTCAAGGGCTGTGAACTTCTGGCCGAGACGGTGGCGGTGGAAACCCATCACCCTTCTATGAAAGAGCGATCTTCAAATAGGCAGCAGTCTTGACACCGCTGTGACCATGAGAGTTGAACATTGGCCATCTCTCTCTGTCTTAAACCTTGTCAAAACCGTAAGATTTATTTTACAAAGAAACATCCTTCCCCTCCCATTCAGATCTAGTCTCTTTAGTTGTCCCACCTGCGGGAAGGCAGCTGTTGGTCAGCAGCTYGCAGCTGTGCTCTGCTGCAGGGTGTTACCTGCGGAAGGTGCTCACAGCTGAGCTCCAGCAAGCTGGCACTGCCTTCTTAGACCGCTGGCCTGGACCATCGCCCTAGATTTTTGCCCATTCTTTGCAGAGGGGGTGGTTTGACCAGTCTCTACTGATCAGCTAAAGTTTCAGTGCACTTGTGTCCTCTGTGAGTTTGGCCCTGTGTACCTCTTGGCACCTCTGCCTTAGCAAGCTTCAGGAGCTGCCACCTCCTCAGAAACGTTTCCCTCTTATGGCTGTAGGTCTGATGCATCTGCCCAACACGGGAGCTCTTCTCGCTGCTCCCCAAAGAAACTGTAATGGAAACAGGGTAGTGGGCTGGGACGTAAAGTTTCCCGATTTCCTAGACATGGATGCTGTATTTCCACAAATGTAAACCTGGGAAGCCATGGAGCAAAAAAATCATTAAATACAGTAAAGGGAAAAGACCTGGGAGAGAGAACCTGGCATGTGAACCTGGCACTCTCCACTCAGCTGCTCTGCTCACAGGCATAATTCTGCCAAGAGCATTTACAGCCCACGTCTTGTTTGTGTGGGTTTAAACCTCGAAGGAATCTTTTGTAAAGAATTCAGCCCCAGGTAAAATGTAAGATTTCTGTTACTTCAGAAGCCCTTTCTTTGCCTAACAAAAAATTGTGTAGGATATTTTAAATGATGCGACAGCTCTGAAAGACATTAAATTTTGGCTTGCAAATCTTGAATTAATATGATTGTGGCACTTCTTTCTATCAAGCATTGTGCAGCCTCTTGTGGTACATAGTATTCTTGTAGGCACTACACTTCTAAAAAAGGAAATACAGGAACAGGCTGGTTAATTACGACAAGTTGGTGACAGAAAGATCAAGGAAAATTCCACTTGCAGGCAACTTTCTTCTCAGTGCTGGATGCTATTTCCAGCTATTTTTTCTGTTTTCTTTTCCTTTTAATGATCTTTCAAGAGACTTTTTTGTACAACTTCCTAAATGCTGTTACGAGGAGAGCTATCAGATGTGTTCGTTGAGAAATAGTTCCTGACACGGTGCCTGTACACGACAAAGGTCTCTGCCCCATGGTAGTTATCTGCATCGCATAAAGCGACGCTGCAGGAGAAAGACAACCATGAATACGACCAGAAGATTCAACAGAACTGCAAAGGTAGGTCTAGTTTTTGAGTACAGCATATAAATGATTTTTTAAAAGTATAAGTCTGATGTTTTGAATTCAAAGCGCTGCCTGGTGATCCTGGAGATGTTTAGTGTGGTAATCGTGAGGTGGAAGGAGGGTTCGTTAGGATGCTGATGTGCCTGAAATATCCCTGGTCTTTTTGTTGTGGTCAAATCATTAGCCAGTGGAAATGCCTTTGTARGGAGGGCTCTGAATGAAGCAAGATTTGCAAGTAGCAAACACCTGTGAATAAACAAATTGGTGAAAAAAATAAACATGCACCTTCCTGGCCCCATCTGCCTTACTGCCGTGCTGTAATAACGTTTGATACGTGCTTACACTGCCAGAGACTTGGAGCAGCGGCAGTCCAGATGATCTGCTTGCAACAATAGGGAGTTTTCCTACATTAGAAGTAAAACAGCAGAGTATTTAAAGCATTGTTTTGGGTTGTTTTGAAAGATTGAAACTAGTTTTTGTGGKTTTTGTGTGTGTATCTGTGTGAGAAATTACTAATTTATTATATCACATCTAATATAATTTTATATACATATACGTTGACTTCTAGAAGCTGTAAAGGTCAGAAAATGCTGAAGTTTGCCTCCTAATTCAGTGCATTGTTTTTCCTACTGTCTGCAARCTTAATAAGCAGCGTAATAGAATTATTCTTTTCATCTTGGATTATCAGCTCAATGCTTACTGTGAATAAACTGCTGGCTGTACATCTGAAAC